AAAAAGATTACGAATTCCTTTCATTTCTGTTACCTGCAAATTGAAATATTTCAAGATGTTATTTGAGGGACTGTTTTTCCACACATGTAATTCTTGGTTAGTAATTTTTTTCGCTCCGGGTTTTATCTAGATCATCCCCCTGCATTGCTTGAACGGCCCCTGCCAGAGAGAGAGAGTGAAGGCTGAGGGAGTCTTTGTAGGTACCTTCTGTGCCATAACTTCTGCTGTTTTCAGGGATCTGAGGGTTTTGGGGGGCGTTTCTTCTGGTTGTATTTTGTTCATCTTAATATACTAAGTAATTTTCCCTCTAACAACTTTCAGTGGTTTTATCGGCATATGCTTCACATATCATACAATTTAAGAGTTGGGCAATCATCACCACAATAAATTTCAGAATATTTTTCTTCTCATGCTCATGGTTGTTCACCCCCCCACTCCCCACATCCTCCTTTACTATGCTCCTGAGTAATTATTAATCCATTCACTGGATTTCATATACAGACAATCATATAAAACACAAACAGGAAGTAAACAAAGAAAAAACATTGACTAGGCAAAATATAGAAAAACTTCAATTAAAAAGAAAGTGACATCTGGAGTCTTAAAGGCTTGTCTTCAAACAATTAATTTTGTCTGTAAAGTTCAAAATGGCCAGTCTGTGTCAAGCCAACTGACATTTCACATTCCCATCTGTCTTCTCTCTGGACACTGGTTCAGCTTCTTCTCCTAGTTGGCATTTAATCCACTTCTCTATCCTTTCCTCTGAAGGTCGGGATTCTAGGATTGCCATTCTTATCGATTTCATTTGGTCTGTCATGTCTTGGTTGTACAGAGTCTGGGGAGAGTGTCTGTGCACGTCTTCAGGATCATTTCTGCCGCTCTAGTTGTACTTCTTGCCATCAGCATACCCTTCCACAGATTAAAATAATGTTATTTACGCACTTACACATACCCACATTCTCTCTTCTTAGTTAGCATCAGCCCCATAGAACTCAGCCACACCATTCCATTGCTGCAACTCAAGTTACCCACTAAGCAAGGAAAGCATGGGATTACTCAAGCTTATTAACTAGCCTGTAGTGAATAATTTCACATGGTTAGAACCCTGTTAACCTGCATGTGAAATTTTTCACTACAGACTAGTAAATAAGCATGAACAACCTCATGATCCCCTTGCTTACCTGGTGTGCCACCCTGTAAAGGACTGTAGATTTGAAGAGAGGTTGTGATTTTGAAAGAAGGTGCTGTGGGGCTAGCAGTGAGACAGATGCCAGCCAAGTCTAGAAGCAAAATCTTTGATGTGCTGGAAAAATGCTGAAATGGTTCACTAAATATGAGAAAGCAAACACGTAAGCCCATACCTGCCTTGCTTATTAGGCAAAGAAACATCCCCTTTGAGTACATTCCATATGTCCTGCCCCACCCTACTTCCTTTCACATTCTGAAGCACTGATTGTCCTTATTAGAAAAAGCAGTGGTAGAACCAATCCTTGCTTTGCATGCAAGAGACTAGTGTTCAATCCCTGGTCAAAGTACCTCACGCACAATGACCACGTCTATCAGTGGATGCTTGCAGGTTGTTATGATGTTGAATAGGAACCAGTAGAGCTTCCAGACTAAGACAGACAAAACTTAGCAAATTCAAAGGTGCCATCTACAATTGATCACTGAATTAGTGCAGGACCAGGCAGTAGTTCTTTGTATTGTTCAAGAGGTTGCCATCAGTCAGTGGCTGATTAAATGGCAATTAAGGACAACAGCATTGTGCTTCTGTGTTTATTCACTCAGTTCTAGGGTTCTATACTAAAGAAATACTTACATATGTACATACAGATATATGTAGCTTTCTTTTAAAATTAACATATTGTTATTTAATTTGTGTATTCTTGTATTAAATAAATTATTTGGGGAGTTAAACTGTTGAAAAGCAAGGATGTTACTTTGAGGACTAAGGGACACCTGACCCAAACCATTAATACTAGTGTATTAATCCATTTGTTATTGTCCTTTTTTGTATAAAATATTGTAATCCAAAGAAATTTAGTAATGCCAGCAGTCTAGCTAAGAAGAAAACTGTGAGAACTACAATAGAGTGAAAGAAAGAAATTACTGCAAAATTTGAATCAGGTCACCACTTATCTGATTTGGCGACTGACTAGATGGCTAAGTTGGCATTATCAACATTTTTTTGGGGGGTGGGGGAAATGTGATTATAGCAGCTAATGTAGTGAACGGTAAGGAAGTGTTCACCACAACACAACCCCTTGAAGAAGCAGAAAATTTCCCGCTAGTCTGGATACATTAGAAACCACTCAATGGCGATAGCATATCTGAGACACTGATATGCAAGAAGGTTAAGAGCCTCATCGTGATTTAAAATCCTGGAAAAATAATCTATCAATGTAATTTTGGGGCTTCAGAACCAATGATTTTTTTCCCATTATTTCGTATGGGAAAAATATGATTAGTTCTCGGATTTTTGATGTTCAAACACGAATTTGGAACGAATTAAGTATCACTGTATTATGGATCGTGTTGTTGTTGTTGTTAGGTGCTGTCCTGTTGGTTCCGACCCATAGAGACCCTCTATGCTACAGAACCAAACATTATTTGATCCCGCACCGTCTTCACGATCGTTGCAGTTATGCCAATCCATCTCATAAGTCTTCTTTTTTGCTGACCCTCCACTTTACCAGGCATGATGTCCTTTTTCACGGCACGGGTCTTTCCTGATAAAATGTCTGAAGTTCAACAGGCAAAATAATGCCATCTTTCCTTCTATGGATGCTTCTGTTTGTGCTCCTTCAGAGACACATTGCTTGTTCTTCGGACAGTCCGCGGTGCTTTCAGTATGCTTCCTGCAAAGCACAGTTAACGTGCATCAACTCTTCCGCAGTCTTCCTTACGTACTGTCAAACTTCCATTATGCCTCGCCAAGGCCACATTCTCCAGCGGCTGTTTCTTCCTTTGTTTCTAACTCTCCTCGAAATGTGAGTTGGAATTCCCTATACCTTTGGCTTTAATTCTGTCTGGAAATAAAGCTTTCTTCTGTATGTTAATGGGGTATAGGGGAAAATCCTGGTGATGCAATGGTTAAGCACTCAGCTGCTAAATGAAAGGTTGTTTGTTCAAGCCCAACAGCCACTCCACAGGTGAAAGAGGTGGCAGCCTGCGTCTGCTAATGGACAGCTTTGGAACCCCTGTAAGGCAGTTCTACTCGCCCAATGGGCCCTGTGAGTCTGCCTTGCCTACACAGCAATGAGTTTATTGTTTTGCTATTATTTTTAAATCAATGTAGGGTGTGTTCTGGAGCTGATCACTTCTTAGTTATTAAAAAAAAGTCAAATTAGAGAGCAAGATAAATGAAGGTGGCAGGACAGCCGCTATTTGTCGATTGTGGATTCTACCAGTCCAAGAGCTTCAAGGGTTCCTGCCGATAAGAGCTGAAGTCGACAAAGAAGAAGCTGCACTAAAGCCACACTCTGAACATGGACTTCTAGTCCCCTGAACTGAGAGAAATAAATATCTGTCCTTTGAAGCACAAATCTCTTGATGACAGAATATCAAAACAGGATATTTATCTTATGACAACAGTAGGTAATGAAGGCAGCAAGTTTATTTTTTTTAAATACTATTAATTCCAGTTTATGAAAGAAGACACCAAGGCACAGAGATTAGCAATCTTATCCAAACTCACATAGGTAGAAAGTCATGAAATTGGAATATGATTTCAGGCAATCACACTCAAGATCCATGATCTTAACCATTCTGGATGCTGCAGTTAAGAATGAACATTTTGTTGCTTATGAGTTAAGGATTGTATGAAATACTAATGCTTAGGAAACAAATCTGGAGGAATGTGATGAGGAGGGTAAGTGAATGTGGAAAAATTATCTAGAGGAGACCAAATTCAGAATGGGAGCAAAAATTTTTCCACTTAAATATTCAAGCATTTTGATGACGCATTACTTCTATATACTATAAAATGTAATTATGGCTTTTATGTCCATAGTACAATAGACACAAGAAAAAGATGGCACTAGTACTGAATTCTTATTCATTTTTCTATTTGAAAACAACACCATCAGACACATATAGCACTGATGCTTTCCATTTTAATTTCACAGATGAAAGAACTGGGTGTCATATTTTACAACTGCAGCTGCCTTGTCCTGGATTTACAAAGAATATTTGCTTTATATAGTTCATTAAAATTCAAGAGCCGAGTACCTCAGACCTGGTCCAAGAGACTTTATGGAGTGTACGACAACCAAAAGAAATTGCAACTTCAGTTGAATGAAACCTACTCTCAAGCCTTTGTGTCGGTGAGTTGTCACCCTCCTTCTCCTCCTCCTCCTTCCCCCCTAGAGGCCTTTTTTAACTTGGAATGTTTGAATCTGATATTGTATTTAGATAAAAATGAATGATATAGAGTTCTATTTCATCCCACAAGGCATGTAGCATGTGTCTACTCTTTATTCACCAATTACGTTACTTGTTATCAATAATACATTGTACTAAGCACTCCTAGCTTGAGATCCATCACCCATCTGTCAGTCTGTCATAGTATGGTGGCTTTCATGCTGCTGTGATACTGAAAGCCACATCACCCGTGTTGCAAATACAGCAGAGACCCCCATGGTGAAGAAGTTTCAGCAGACTAAGAACAGACACTTTTGAGGGATTGGCCATTGAAAATCTTATGAATGGCAGCATAACATGGTCTGAACACAGTGTCAGAAGATGAACCCCTCTGGTTGGAAAGCGTTCAAAATCCAACTGAGAAAGAGCTGCCTCCTCAGAGCAGAGTCAACCTTAGAGAGTCAGATGGAGCAAAGCTTGAGGGACTTCACCTGCTGATAGGGCACAATTCCAAATAAGAAGGAACAGCTGCAAGCCACCATTAATTACCAAATATGGAATGTACAAAGTATGAAAATGGAAACATATGGACAATATGTTGGACAATATAACATGATTGTCCAACTGAAAAATGGCCAATTCAATTGGCCTTACATTGGCCATTTTTAGTTGGGCAGTCATGTTATATACTATGCCTGAAATGACAAGTTGAAAAGGAATGGCATCCTATACATTGTCAAAAGATCATTACAAGATCTATTTTTAAGTACAATGCTGTCTATAGGATAATAGCTATACACCTAAAACGATGTCCAGTTAATACAACTATTATTTAAATTTATGTACCAGGCACTAAAGCTAGTGATGAAGAAATGGAAGAATTTTACCAACGTCATCAGTCTGAAATTGATCAAACATGCAGTCAGCATGCATTGATAATTACCAGTGGTTGTAATGACAAAGTTGGGAACAAAAAGGAAAGAACAGTATCTGGTATTGGTCACAGAAACAAAGCTGGAGAACGCATGATAGAGTTTCATAGGATCAATGACTTCATTGCAAATAACTTTTTTTTAAGCAACATAAATGGTGACTATACAGGTGGACTTCACCAAATGGGATACACAGGAATCAAATGGACTCTATCTGTGGAAAGAGATGATGGCTAAGTTCAATATGATCAGCCAAAGCAAGGCCAGGGACCAACTGTGGAACAGATCATCAACTGTGAAGCTGAAGAAACTTAAAGCAAGTACAAAATAAAACCTGGAGTATCTCCCACCTGAATTTAGAGCACATCTCAAGAACAGATTTGACACACTGAACACTAACACTAACGACAGAAGACCTGAAAGCTGTAGGGTGACATCAGGAACACCGTACATGAAAGTAGCAAAGGGTCATTTAAAAAATGAAGGCAAAGGTCAAAGTGGATGTCAAAAGAGACTTGGAGCTTACTTCTGAATATAGAGTGGTGAAAGCCAGTGGAAGAAATAAAGAAATAAAAGAGCTGAACAGAAAGTATCAAAGGTCAGACAGAATAGAGAATTATAATGAATTGTGTGATAATCTGGATTTAGAAAGCCAAAAATAAAGAATGCACAGCATATCTCAAGGTGTGAAAGAACTGAAGAAATTACCCAAGAAGGATTTGGGTTCTGATGTTGAAGGAGGCCATGTTGAACAATACAGGAACATCAAAAGCAGATGGAAAGGATACACACACTCACTATACTAAAAATAATTGGTTGATGTTCAACCATTTCAAGAACCAGTGGTGTTGAAGCAAGAAGTATAAGCTACACTAAAAATATTACCCCAAAACAAGACTTCATGAATTGATAAAATACCAATTGAAATGTTTCAACAAGTTGATGAGACACTAGAATTGTGCACCGGTCTTCGCCAAGGAAGTTGAAAGAAAACTCCCTACCAACAGACTGGAAGAGATCCTTATTTGTGCCCACTTCAAAGAAAGTTAGCCCAACAGAATATAGAAATCATTGATTTTACATAGAAGCAAAAAAATTTTGAAAATAATTTTTATATATTACTATATATATTAATCATTTTACTGGGCAGGCTCTTACAAATCTTATAACAATCCATCATTCAATTGTATTAAGCACATTTGTACATATGTTCCCATCAACATTTCCAAAACATTTTCTTTCTACTTGAGCCCTTGGTATCAGCAATTTTTCCCCTCCCTCTCTCACCCTCCATGAATCCTTGATCAATTATATATTGTTGTTGTTTTTTCATGTCTTACACTGTCTGTTGTCATGTCACCCTTCATCCACATTCCTGTTATTTGTCCTCCCAAGGGGGTGGACTATATTGAAGATAATTTTTTTAATGGTTGCAGCAGGGGGCTGCCAGAAATTCAAGCTGGTGTCAGAAGAGAATGTGGCAAAAGGGATATCACTGCTAATGTCACATGGATGTTGACTGAAAGCAGAGAACATCAGAAAGATTTTACTTGTGCTTTATTGACTGTACAAAGACATTTTACTGTGTGCATCATAACAACTGTGGATTAAATCTCAAAGAATGGGAATTCCAGAATACCTCATTGTGATCACGCAGAACCTGTATATGAACCAAAAGAACCTGTATATGGATCAAACAGAGCTAGATAATCTGGGAGATTGGACTATATGAAGAACGTGACTTCAGGATTGGAAAAAGCATTATTAAGAATGTGTGATATGCAAATGACACAAACTTGCATGCTGCAAGTGAGGATGACTTGAAACACTGATGAAATTAAAGACTGCAGCTGGGTTAGTCCAGGTTGACTAGATAATGTGTTAGTTTGTTTTGACGAGAGAAGCAATTCATAGGCACTCATATGTGTATAACAAAGAACTTTATATGAAAGAACAATCGCATATTGAGAAAAAAATCCCAGCCCAGTCCAGTTCAAGTCCATAAGTCTGATATTAGCCCATATGTGTGATACCTGTCTATAAGTTCCTCTTCAGATTCACACAACACATGCAATGACACCAAATGCAGGAAGATTACAGGTCAGTGGGTGGAAAGTCTTGTGGATCCAGTGGTGGTGGAAGCATCTCAATCCTGGTGTAGGTCTCTATGTGGCTCCCTCAGTTCTAGGGCTCTGACTCCACCAGCATAGCTCCATGTGGCTTATCAGCAAGAAGACGAAGCAGAGAGAGTGTGTCTGGCCTCCAGTGAGCTATTTATCTCTCTCATGCCTCTAAAATGAGGTCATCAGGCTGTGACTTGGTTGACAGGCTGGACTCCACCCCTTCCTCAAACTGACAGTAGATTATGTAACTTCCACCAAAGCCTTCCATATGGATTGTCAATTAATAAAAAGAAAACCAAAATCCTCAAACCTGCACCAATGTGTAACATCATATTAAACAGAGAAAAGATTGAAATTTTCGAGGATTTCAATTTGTTTGTATCATAATCAATACTCATGGAACCAGTGGTCAAGAAATCACATGACATATTACATTGGGAACATCTGCTGAACAAGACTTCTTTAAGATGTCATATTGAGGACTAAGAAGCTCTTGACTCAAGCCATGGTATTTTCATTTGCTTCATATGCATGTGAAAGTTGGTCAATGAATGGAGAAGACTGCATTTGAATTGTGGTGCTTGCAAAGAATATTGAAAGTCCATGTACTTCCAGAAGAACAAACAAATCTGTCTGGGAAGTAATGTAGCCAGAATCCTCCTTAGAAGTGAGGATGGCAAGATTTTGCCTAATGCCCTTTGGACATCTTATCAGGAGAGACTAGTGCCTAGAAAAGAACATCATGCTTTTGAGGAGGGTCAACAAAATGAGATAGATGGACCCAGTGGCTATGACAGGGGGCTCAAAAATTTAAACAATTGTGAGTACGGTATCACTGGGCATTGTTTTGTTCTGTAGTTCATAGGGTGCCTATAAATCATAACTGACGATGGCACCTAACAACAATAAAAGATACTTTCCATTATCTGATTCGACATCCACAATGGCCTATAAGGTAGGCGTGAGATTATGACTCACAAGTGAAGATTTGTAAATCTATAAAGCTCTCTCTTACACGCATCTGAGTGTCTCTGGATTTGTGTCTCTAGTCAACCCCACCTAATGCAGAGGGTCACTGAAAGGGAAATTCTCTATGAGAAGAATTTAGATAATAATCAGTTTAATGAATTCAGACATACCAACAATTGTGAAGATGACACAGGGCCAGGAAATGATTCCAGTATTCATAAAGTCACTATCCTACTATTCTATTCTACTCCATCACTTGTCTGTCAGTTTGTCACACTGTGATAGCTCTGTGTTGCTGTGATGCTGCAAACTATGTCACTGGTATTTCAAATGCCAGCAGGGTCACCCAAAGTGAACAGGCTTCAGTGGAGCTTCCAGACTAAAAACAGACAATGAAGAAGGACTTGACGCCCGACTTCGGAGGAAGGAGCCACTGGAAACCTTATGCATAGCTTTAAAACACTGTCAGATACTGAAGGCCTAAAGAACAGAAGCAGAACACTGTCGGAGAGAGTGCCGGAGGATAGGCCCCTTGTGTTGGTGAGCCCTCAAAATGTGACTGAGAAGGAGGTGGGTAAAGCCTGTGGGAGTTGAGCCTTCAGGATCTTCGTTTGGTTGTGGGGCCAGACTCAAGGTAAGGAGAAACAGCTGCAAAATCTGCTAATGATCAGAACTTGGAATATGCTAAGTATAGGAAAATTGGAAGTTGTCAAAAATAAATTGAAACACATAAAGATCGATATCCTAGGCATTAGTGAGCTGAAGTTGGCTTTTATTAGGCATTTTGAATAGAAAATCATATAATTGCTATGTTGGTAATAACACAATCAATAGGAATGGCATGGCATTCATTTTCAAAAAGGACATTATAAAATCAAGCTTGAAGAACAATGCTGTCTGTGATAGTATAATATCTATCCACGTTCAAGAAAATCAAATCAATACAACTATTATTCAAATTTACGCACCAACCACAAAAGCTAGTGATAAAGAAATCTGCCAACTTCTTCAGTAAGAAATTGATGAAACATGTAATCAATGTGCATTGATAATCATTGGTTTTGGAATGCAAAAGTTGGAAACAAAGAGGAAGGAAAACATGGACTTGGTAATAGAAATGAAGCTAGGGATCACAGGAATGAATTTTGTAAAACTATTGACTTGATCATATGGGATCCACAGATGGAATACAGAAATCAAATTGACTACACCTGTGAGAAAAGACAATGGAGAAGCTCACTATCAGCAACTAAAGCCAGGCCAGGGCTGACTGTGGAACAGACCGTCAATTGTCCATATATAAGTTCAGGATAAAGTTGAAGAGAATTGAAACGAGTTCAGAAGAACCAAAACATAACCTTCAGTCTGTCACACCCAAATTTCAAGAACAGACTTGATGCATTGAACACTAATGACAGAGACCTGATGAGCTGTGGGAGGACATCAAAAACATCATTCATGAAGAAAGCAAAAGGTCATTAAAAAGCAAGCAAGTAAAGAAAGATCAAAGTAAATGTCAGAAGAGATTCTGAAACTTGCTATTAATCAGAGAGTAGCTAAAACAAATGGAAGAAAGGATAAATAGCTGAAGAAAGAGCTGAGTAGAAAATTTCAAAGGGCAGCTCAAGAAGACAAAACCAAATATATTGCAAAGACCTGGAATTAGAAACTCAAAAGGGAAGAGCACACAAAGCATATCTTAAACTGGAAGAACCCAAGAAAAAATCGACCCCAGGGTTTCAATATCGAAAGGTTCTATGGGCAAATATTGAATGAGACAGGAAGCATCAAAGAAAGATGGGAAGAATACAGAGTCGCTGTACCAAAAAGTACTACTCAACATCCCACCATTTCAGGAGGTAGCATATGAGCAAGAACCATGGGTGCTGAAGGAAGAGGCCCAAGCTACACTGAAGGCATTAACTAAAAACAGAGCTCCAAGAATTGATGGAACACTAATGGACATGTTTCAACAAGCTAATGAAGCACTGGAAGCACTCATTTGCCTATGCCAGGAAATTTGGAAGGCAGCTACTTGGCCAATTGACTCAAAGAGATCTATATTTGTACCCATTCTAAAGAATGGTGACCCAACAGAATGTTCAAATTATAGAACAATATAACCGAAATATGTGCAAGTAAAATTTTGGTCAAGATAATTCAACAAAGGATGCAGTTTATTGGCAGAAAGCTGCCAGCGGGTTAGGTCAGATTCAGAAGAGGATGTGGGACAAGGTATATCATTGCTGATGTCAGATGGACCTTGGCTCAAAGCAGAGACTACCAAGAAGACATTTACTTGTGTCTTGACTGTGCTACGGCATTTGACTGTGCGGCTCATAACAAACTATGGATAACCTTGAGAAGAATGGGAATTCCAGAACACTTCATTGTGCTCAGGTGGAACTTATACATGGATCAAGTGGCAGTTGTGCGAACAGAACAAAGGCTTGCTGCATGGCATAAAATCAGGCAAGGTGTGCAACAGGATTGTATCCTCGCACCGTACTTATTCAATCTGTATGCTATATGAGCAAATAAGCAGAGAAGCTGGACTATATGAAGACAAATGTGGCATCAGGATGGGAGCAAGCCTTATTATCAACTTGTGATAGGCAGAAAACACAACCATGCTTGCTGACAGCCAGCAAAGCACGAAGCACTTGCTGATGAAGATTAATGATTGTACCCTTCGGTATGATTACAACTCAATGTAAATCAAACCAAAATCTTCACAACTGGACCAATGGGTAATAATATCATGATAAATGGAGAAAAAGTTGTAGTTGTCAAGATTTTGTCTTGTTTGGATCCACAATCAATGCTCATGGAAGCAGCAATCAAGAGATCAAAAGGCGTATTTCATTAGGTAAATCTGCTGTATAAGACCTCTTTGGAGTATTAAAAGCAACGATATTTCTTCGAGGACTACGGTATGCCTGACTCAAGCTATGGTATTTTCAATTGTCTCATATGCATGTGAAAGTTGCACATTGAATAAAGAATATGGAAGAAAATTGATGCATTTGAACTGTGGGGCTGGAGATAAATATTGAAGGTACCATGGACTGCTAAAAGGACAACCTGAGCTCTCTTGGAAGAAATATAGTCAGAGTGCTCCTCAGAGGCAAGGACTTTGTCTTCCATCGTGAGACAGGTTTTCAACAGAGCCCAGGTCCTGGCGAAGGACACCTTCTTGGTTAAGTAGAGGCAGTGAAAAGGAGGAGGGCCCTCAAGAGATGGACGGACACCGTGGCTACAACACTGGGCTCAAGCCTAGGAAATAGTTGTGAGGATGGTGCCGAACAGGGTGGTGCTTTATTCTGTTTGCAGAAGGTCACTATGGGTCGGAACCTACTAGGTGGCACCTAAACAACAACATGGAAACTCCGGGTTTAACTTCTTGAGGAATGGTCAAACTCGTTTCCAAACTGCATAATTTTACATTCCCACCAGCAATGTATGAAGGTTGCAGTTTCTCCACGCCTTCTCCATTTTCTTTTAATCCTGTTAGTGGGTGTAACAAGGAGGCCTGGTTTCATAGTGGTTACATTGAGCTGTTAACCCGAAGGTCTCAGTCCCAAACCCCCAACCACTCCACGGGAGAAAGGCCTTTGTACTTCCTTGAAGAACCCACAGGAGTAGTTCTACGCTGCCCTATCTGGTCACTCTCAGTCTGAGTCAAATAGAGGGCAGTGAGTGAGTGGGTTTGAAATGATATTGTGGTCTTAATTTGTATTCTCCTTAATGGCTAATGATGTTGATATTTATCTTCCTTGGAGAAATGCGTACTCACATGCTGACCACTGTTGTATTTGAGTCTCTGGACAACCCAGTGTAAAAGGTGTGTTTTGCTTCACAGTTTATTTTCGATTCCCAATGCTCCTGTAACCAGAATACCATAGATGGGAGGCTTCCAAGAACAGAAATTGAGTTTTCAACAGTTCTGGATGCTAAAAACGCCAAATCAGTGTCTTAGCCCTCTCAATTCCTTCTTTCCTTTGTCTTTTCATCTATGCTGTTCTTTATGCCACTCAGACATGCTTAGATAACCCTGAAGTGCCCGCATTACCATAACATACTGGAGAAGAGAGAGTTGAGGATACAATTCAATTCGTAACATTGTTTAATATGTAAAATATGAAAGCTCATCCTAATTTTAAATAAAAATAAATGAAAACCTCATCCTACTAGAGTCCCCTGCCAAGATGATTTTCTGACCATCAAAATGCCTAGAAAACTAGTGTCATGGGACATACTTCTTTCTGACCCAATCCCTCATGCTCCCTAGGCTGAGCATCCATCAGTGTCTAGTCACAAAACTGTTAGCCGGGATAGGGATGCCCCGAGCATGGGTTCGTTCTGTACAGGACGTGGTGAGGGGCAGTACTCACTGTCCAATACTACCGTTCATGACAGTTTCAGAAACCACCGATTCGATGTGTTGGTATTAAGCATAATCTTACATGATTTGAGCTCGTATCATTGCATATAGCTTGTCAAAGTACAATTGGAGCTTTGCTAAACACTAAAATAGTGAGACAAGCAAAGTAATTTTTCTCTTTCTTTAGCAATTTCATCAATGAACACCATGTTTTACAAGATGACAACCATTTTAGCAACATGGGAAATATATCCAAAGCATAATTTGCCTCTTTTCATTTCACTGAAGTCTTTCGGAATATTTTGTTACCTATTTTTCATGATAAATTTGATTACTTTAACTTATCATATATACTCAAGTATAAGCTGACCCAAATATCAGCCGAGGCACCTAATTTTACCACAAAAAACTATATTAAAACTGTGCTGAAAAACCCTACTTATACACAAGTATATATGGTACTCAGCTTCCTCTGTAATTATTCATTATATTTTCTTAGCCATCGACAGTCCTCTTTCTGACTCAATGAAAGAGTGGGGATGAGGGGGAGACAAGGTATTGAGATACTTTTATCTTGACAATTTTTACAGCCATATAACCATTCAAATGAAAAGACATCTGGAGTAAACTACTTGCTCTACATGTATGTATGTAGGTATTATGGTAACACTTGAGAAACCTAGTAGGTGTTTTCAAAGTAATGCACATCAAAATCTCAGAAGTTCGGAGCTGGAGTGCGCCTCCCCAAAGCATACTGACAGCAAGAATTCACTTCCAAAACAGACAGAGGGGACCAACTTGAGACTTGCCCATTCCACCTTGATTTCTACAAGCCTCAACTTTGAGAGGGCTGAGAATAGACAGTAAAACCTCTGAGGGCTGGAACTTGACAAAGCTGCCTTGTTTTTCCAAGGATCCTGAGTTTTCTGCCTTTGGCAAAGTAACAGCTTCCCACTTTTCCCATTGATTGTTTTAGTGGAAAACATTTGAGTCTCCCTTCTCTGAAAGGTTTCTGCCTAATACAGATCTGGCTTTTGCAGGTTTTACTGTACACTTGTTTAATAGGATAAAGTTGCTAAGCCAACATTTAGTTAGGAGCCCAAATTCAATTAAGCAAAATAAAAGAAATCCCCAAATGATAAAAAATGATTACACTCTTAAGTTTGGTTTTTATGTCTTCACAGAACTCTCCCAAACTTTTTTGCCCAAAGAACAGAAGCTTTGACATTGATGCCATCTACAGTGTGATAGATGATGCCAAGAAATTTGTGTTCATAGCTGTAATGGACTACCTGCCTATCTCCAGCACAAGTTCCCGAAGGTCAGTGAGTGCCTAAACCTTCAGTTATAACCCACTCTCCAGGGCTAGCCACTAACAGCGGTCAAGAGACTGACACTGAAATGCTATGAGGTCTATGTTAGGAAGGGACCAACCTTCAAATCTACTTAGAGTGCAGCTTCAGTTTACCCAGGATGCTCTCAAGTGGGGCCATTTTAAGGGCTCAGAGTCTCAGCCTGAAAAAGCATCTCAGTAGTTTACATTGAAAGCAGAAGAGTAAGTTTAGAAAGAAGATAGGTTTTTACTCGTCTTGCAAAGAAGACTGCAAATCTATCATTGTTAATGTGTCTACATGTGTCTCGTATAACTGTTTATAACATATATTATATTATAATTTATAATGTTAGCATTATATTCCATATAGTATTACATAATATATATTATATAGTAGTATAATATATATAGTTTATAATATATACAAATTATAATGTTAGTATAAATTAATTCAGATGTACCTAGAGGACATTTAGAAACTGAGTAGGTTTTGCAACAAAATTCCAGGAAGGTGAAGATGGAACTGTTCTTTAAAGTACCAGAACTGGGGTTGGGCCAGGTATGAAAAAGGGATAATGAACCCTCTCACCTAAACCACCTAGGCTCAAGTGGAGGGATGGAGGACCGAGGACCTGGAAGGCTGAAAGAGTAGGTTTATTCTGAGCAAGAGTGTGGGAGACCCTAAAGGCTATGGTCAGGTAGAAAGAAGATATAGAGTCTTGAGCAAGATGACAATCTAGTATCACACATGGGAGGGATTCCGCAGAGGAGAGCACAGAGGGGCCACCAAGAGGGATATCTTACATTTCCAGATCATGGGATTCTCAGCACAAAGATAAATAGGCACAAATTTATTAAAATAAAAGTACAACAACATCTGCCAATAGACTCCCCTTTGTCATCTGTCCTTGGCACTAGCCAACAGAGCGTTGATTCCCAACAGAGTGTAAATCTCCCAACTTAATTTTCCCATTCCAGAAGCTGGCTAGGGTGGCTGGCTGGCTGAGCTTCAGGGGCATAGCTCTACAGGACCAGCCGGTGAATACAAGAACAAATAGGCTTGGCTTTCAGCCCAAACCAAGGGAGCTCCACTCTGATACCCTCCCAACCCTAACTTCCCAATAACAGGGATAGCACAGTGTACCCAAACGACATGGGAGTAACTCTACCTGGCAACCTGGAATGAGCATAAATAGTGAATAGGCAAACTTTCCAAACAAGTGAGGGGGGAGCTCTAGACCCACTTGGCAAAACTAATCTCCTTTCCCTAAGGTACAGCTCTGCACTGAGGGAGGTGGGAGGGGTGGCATCTTAAGACACCCAAAAAGCATGACCATCCACAGGCTTTTTTTTCTTTAACTACTTTGGGTAGCAGTTAACATACACCTGGCCAATGTTTTTATGGTATTAGCATAACAATACAAATAAACTCAGCAACAGTGGTTTTACAAAGCACAGGCAGAGAATTTTGAGCATGAGACAAAGACCCATATATAGCTATTCACTGGCTCTCCCATGACTCCAGTCCCTGGTGAGCAGCTCAGATAAACAACCTGACTTCTGAGTAGGTTATTGCTTCATTCCTCACTCCTAAACCACCTAGGTAGTTGGCAGGTATAGACCCACTCCCCTACCCCCACTGGGTCACCTCCATCATCCAAAAAGAATGAACCCCATCCATAGAAATCTGTTCCTTTCAGATAGCCTAAACAATAAGAATGCAGGGCTCTCGGCCATAGAAGACACCAAAATAATTCCCCTAGCCTTAACCTCAACCCTACTCTGACATCTTATAAGATTACAAGGCAGTCAAACAACATATTACCAGACAGTGCCACAACTGCTTAAAGACCTCTGTTCCACACATTCCCAACTTATACCCAAGGCAAGGTCTAGACACCAGCTGTTCTTTTGTTGATATTGTTGTTGCCCTGTGTTCTATCAATCCTATACCCTGTGCCTTTTTTAAAATCATTTTATCGGGGGCTCATTCAACTCCTGTCAAAATCCATACATACATCCATTGTGTCAAGCACATGTGTACATTTGTTGCCATCCTCATTCTCAAAACATTCGCTTTCTACTTGAGCCCTTGGTATCAGCTCTTCATTTTCCCCTCCCTTCCCAACCCTCCCTTCCTAAAAAAAACCTTGATAATTTATAAATTTTTTCCATGTCACACTATCCGATGTCTCCCTTCACCCACTTTTCTGTTATCCGTCCCCCAGAGAGAGGATTGTATATAAATCATTGTGATTGGTAACCCCTTTCTTCTCCCACCTTCCCCTTCCCCTCCTGGTATAGATGCTCTCATTATTGGTCCTGAGAGGTTTATCTGTCCTGGATTCCCAGTGTATACAGCTCTTATGTGTACCAGTGTACATCCTCTGGTCTAGCTGGATTTGTAAGGTAGAATTGGGATCATGATAGTGGTGGGGAGGAAGCATTAAAGAGCTAGAAGAAAGTTGTATGTTTCATCGGTGCTATACTGACTGGCTCATCTCCTCCCCACAACCCTCTGTAAGGGGATGCCGAGTTGCCTACAGAATGACTTTAGGTGGCCACTCCACAATCCCCCTCATTCACAATGATATGATTTTTTTGTTCTTTGATGTCTGATACCTGATTCTATCAACACCTCATGATCACACAGGCTAGTGTGCTTCTTCCATGTGGACTTTGTTGCTTCTGAGCTAGATGGCCGCTTGTTTATCTTCAAGCCTTTAAGACCCCAGACGCTATATCTTTTGATAGTCTGGCACCATCAGCTTTCTTCACTACATTTGCTTATACACCCGCTTTGTCTCCAGCTATTGTGTTGGGAAGCTGAGCATCATGGAATGCCAGTTTAATAGAACAAAGTGTTCTTGCATTAAGAGAGTACTTGAGTAGAGGCCAGATGTCCAGCTGTTACCTTAATACTAAACCTATAAATATATGCACATAAATCTATTTCCCCACTGTCATATATAAATATATTTATATATGTACATGCCTGTATTTAGACCTCTATAAATGCCCTTTGCCTCCTAGTTCTTTCCTCTATTTCCTTTTACTTTCCTCTTGTCCCACTCTCATGTTCAGCCTTCATTTGGGTTTCAGTAATTCCTCTTGGTTACATTGCCATTGATCAAGCCCTACCAGGCCTCCTATACACCCCTTGCAGTCGATTTCATATCACTTGTTATTCCCTTGTCCCTGGGTTTATTAACACCCACTTCCTTTCCCCGCCTCCCCAACTCCCATGCCCCCCCCCTCCCCCGGAACCATCAGTCCATTGTTTTCTCCACCAGTTTGTTTATCCTGCCTATCTTATGTAGATAGACCTGCAGGGATAATAATATGCACAAAAAATAAGACAGAGCAAAACAAAACAACAACTACATAGAAAAAGAGAAGTCTGTAATAGTTCAAGGTCTGTTTGTTGACCTTTAGGATTGTTTTCCTGTTGGATCTGATGGGATGCCACACCCTGGCCCCAAAGTCTATTCCCTTGGGACTTCGTTGCTGTTTTCCCCTTGCTGTTCTGTTGCACACCCTTAGTGTTTCGCCTCGGCGTGGTGGGATTAGATGGGGCACAATTCCTAAATTGTGCCTCCAGTGTTGTCCCCCATAGCACTATGGGTCAGTGAGTTCCCTAGTCCCCTAGTGGTCCCCTCTGCATTGGCTGCTCTGAGCAGGAATATCATCCTCAGGGCTTGGTGGGCCACGATGTGCTCCACGCTCTCTTCCTCCCCCTTCATTTGCTCCCGTGTGCTCTGATAAGACATGTCCCTCTCCCTGAGCTGCACCTTCAGGGCTGTCCTCTGAAGTGAATTCTTCTGGGGGGAGGACCCTCCGCCTCTTTAAAACAAAGTTGTGCACTACTCTTATAACTTAGCTTTAATCAGGACTTCCATGTCTGTGGGTATATGTAAGCACAGTGGAAAAAATTATTATAGCTCTACTCTTTTGCTTTCAATTTAATTTATTTGTTTTCTAATCCCTCAGCACATCATCCGTCCAGAAGTTAGCAGTCATTTCAGAGACAAAGCTCATGGGCAAAGCTTAGAGCCCACATCAACATACATTAACAGCTCTCTCTCTTCTTACTCTAGCATTATTTTTTCTATTTTTACTTTTAATACTTTGTCTCTGACCTTTTCCTTCATTAATTTTAATATATAAACTATTATTTAATAGCCCTATTTACCTATCTTTATTTTCTATTTCTTCTCATCAATCCTTCTCATCCCCATAAACCCAAAAGCTGCCACTACTCTTACTTTTTTTTCTATCAAATACCATTACCCATTCCTCCAAAAATTGCAAAACAGGTATTTGGGGGCCTAATTTCCTTTCTTTTAACCTACCAATTAACACTATCTGGTTCCTCTCTTTATTGCTTACATTTTACTTTCTTTCTCACTCCTCTAACACTTCCTCTTCCACTTTTTTTATCTCCCTGCCAAACACTTAATCTGACACTCTCCCCCAGATACTTAATAAAAAGGGTCTACCACCCCTCTACTGCACCAACTAACAGAGTTAACTACTCCCACATAACCCCAACTCCATAACACCCCTAATAATAGCTACACCAAGATGTCAAGGAAACAGCAGAAGATATCGGTTAAAAAAAACTACCACCCGCACAAGAGAAGTAGACACAAATAACTGAATACCAACAGGACCTAAAAGAAATGCCTGAAACTGAAAAGGCTATGGAATTACCAGAAAAAGAATTTAAAAGAATGATGATTGCACTCATATAACAGGTGAAGGAAGAGTCTGAGAAGGAAAGTGAAAATAGTGAAAAGCTGGAAACCTCACTACATGCTGTACAAGAAAAACTCCAAACAGAAACACAAAAGTCTAACATTACAGCAGCAGAATTACACAATACTATAAAAGAACAGAAAAACAGAATTTAGGGATGGAAACCCAAATTAGTGAGCTTGTAGACAAATCTATAGACTCCAACCTCAAAGAACAGATAATCAAAAAAT